CGCTGAATTAAATAAAAGGAAAGAAAAATAGCCATAAATTAAAGCTGGAGAGTGGTTTACATCACCTAATGAGTTATAGTACAGGGAAGAGGTTAACTATACCCACCAGAGACTCATCAGCCACTACTCAGTGATAAGGACTGAGGAATTACTATTCCTTCAAAAGCCTGAATTAGCATAGGAGGAGAGTTTATTATAATCTATAAAAATCCTTCTGATAAAAAGGCAATTATGTTGGTCATGGGGTTTGTAACTCACAGAAAAAAGAGAAATATATATACATATGATAATAAAATAGAATTTTGTTTTTTGGGGGGTTATACCAATAACTTGACTGTATTTCTTTAGGTTTGTTTGTTTTCCTAAAGGTTTTATGAAGGAGCTACAATAGTTTTTCTAGATCTAGAAGAACAATCACTGTACAAGTATTTCCACACCACATCCTTTGCCTTACAACTTCATTTAAAATCATCTCAGCCTTCAATTTTGCATTATTTGACTATAAACCCACTTGTAAACAAAGAAACAATCCCAGGCCAGAAGCACAGATCTGGAATTTGGGGCATCTGGAGCCAGAAGGCTTTGCCAACTGGCACACTGCAAACAGAGTGTGGATGGACAAATCTTGTTCTCCAAAACCTAATATACACTGGTGATTAAACTTAATTGTAAAACAAACATTGATGATCCACACCTACAAAAATCCAGCCAGGTCAAACAACCCATCTGGTGCAAAACTGCATTTGAGGAACCTCCATGGCAAAGAGCCAAAGGCCAACCCCCAACAAGTCACCCCAACAAGGACACCAGGACAGGCCTTTGCACAGCAATTGAGTGCACTGAATCTGCAATTCCATTTAACACTCCCATGCCCACTGAAGACAAATATTGGCAGTTCTATCTTTACACTTGTCCTTATCCATTAGCCACAAATGCATACGGTAAAGAACTAAACGTGTGTGGTCTGCATTTCAACTTGACCATAAAAAATGGCCCAAGGAAAATACCTGAACAAAGGGAAAACTCCATTTACCTCTGAAATTACTCCATTTACCTCTGAACACCTTCAACCTGGCCTGGAACACTCCCAGGGATGGAGCAGCCACAGCTTCTCTGGGCAACCTGTGCTAGTGCCTCAGCACCTTCACAGGGTTCCTTCCCAATTCCTTCCCAATCCATCCCTGCCCTATGGCAGTAGGAAGCCATTCCCCCTTGTTCTGGCACTCCAGACCCTTGCAAATAGTCTCTCTCCATCTTTTCTGCAGCTCCTTCAGGCACTGGAAGGCCACAATTAGGTCACCTATTAGCTTCCCTTCTCCAAGCTGAACAATCCCAACTCTCTCAGCCTTTCCTCATAGCAGAGATGCTCCATCCCTCTGATCATCTTGGTGCCTCCTCTAGACTTGCTCCAGCAGCTCCACATCCTTCTCCTGTTGGTGCTCCAGAGCTGGAGGCAGTACTGCAGGTGAGGTCTCACCCAAGTGGAGCAGAGGGGCAGAATCTCCCCTCACCTGCTGCCTGTGCTGTGGGGATCAGTCCAGGACACAGCTGGTTTCTGGGTGCCAGCACACATGACCAGCTCATATCCAGCTTCTCACCCACCAGCACCCCCAAGTCCTTTGTGCTGTGGGGATCAGTCCAGGACACAGCTGGTTTCTGGGTGCCAGCACACATGACCAGCTCATATCCAGCTTCTCACCCACCAGCACCCCCAAGTCCTTCTCCCCAGGGCTGCTCTCCATCTGTTCTCCCAGCCTGGATTGATTCCAGGGATTGTCCTGACCCAGGTGCAGCACCAGAACTACCCAAAGGTGCTGGTACTAAGCCACAACACCACTACTCAAAGGTGCTGTTCACAAGTCTCTCAAGCTTGTCCTCCGGGATTTACTCCTTTTCTGAGAGCTGCTTTCCTGGCAGTGCAACACCATCTCCTACCATACTAATGACAACTCTTATTAAAGCAGCAAACCTGGTGTTAGTTTGGTAGCAAGAGAAAGAGAAGGAGGTTGGAGCACCTCTTTCACATGGAGAATCTGAAAATCACTACCCAAAACATCAGCTCTTGGTGGAAGCTCTGCACTGCCATCTGGAAGGGGATGAGGGAAGGCTACAGAGAGCTGATACAACAGAACACTCCATGCAGGCTTTCACTGGAAAAAATCAACAAGTGATAAAGGTTTTTATGAATGAGAGACAGAGAATTCAGGGAAACATTCCGTCCCTGTGGAAATGGAGTGTCAGGAATG